ACTGGTTGAGAGAGGTACAGTCTTTAACATGGTTGGGAAGGTCATTCCACATTCTGGGTCCCTTGATTTGTAAAGCATTTCTAGTTTGATTAAGTCGTACTCTAGGAATATCAAAACTGTATTTATTTCTGGTGTGGTGCTCATGGGTTCTGTTACAACCTTCTATGAAGCTTTTGAGATCAGGATTGGCATTATAGTTTAGCGTTTTATATATGTATAATACACATGAGAGAATGTGCAATGACTTAATATCTGACATATTCAGAGATTTGAGTAAGGGTACCGAGTGATGTCCGGGGACAGAGTTGGATATTGTCCTAATAGCGGCTTTGTGTTGAGTAATTAGAGGACGTAAATGATTTTGGGTAGTAGAGCCCCAAGCACAAATACCATAGTTGAGATAAGGATAGATAAGGGAGTAATAGAGAGTCACCAGGGCAGGGCGAGGTACATAATATCTGATCTTAGAAAGAATGCCAACAGTTTTTGAAACTTTTTTTGATATATTTAGAATGTGTCCCTGGAAATTCAGCTTGTGGTCAATGAGAACGCCAAGGAATTTGCCATCTAATTTGTTACAAATTTGGGTATTGTTTATTTTGAGATTTATTTGATTAGAGGATTTATTGCCAAACAGAATATAGAAAGTTTTGTCAATGTTAAGGGTGAGTTTGTTGGCAGTTAGCCAAAGATGGACTTTATTTAGCTCAGTATTTACTGTGGCATTTAGAGCAAGAGGGTCAGGACTGGAGTAAATGAAGGTTGTGTCCTCAGCAAATAGAATTGGTTTGAGGTGTTGGGAGGCATTTGGAAGGTCATTAATGTAGATGAGAAAGAGGAGAGGGCCAAGTATGCTGCCCTGAGGAACACCAATGTTGATGGGTAGGGTGGGAGAAATTGAATTATTTACAGAAACATACTGGAGCCTGTCAGTAAGGTAAGATTTGAGGTACTACAGGGAGTGTCCTCTGACTCCATAATGATGTAATTTAAGAAGAAGGTTTTGGTGGTTGACAGTGTCAAAAGCCTTACGCAGGTCCACAAATAGCCCAACAGGGAACTCACTTTTATCAAGAGCTGCATGAATCAAGTTAATCATACTAATAAGTGCATCGTTAGTGCTTTTTTTGGGTCTGAAGCCAAATTGGCAGGAGCTAAGTATATTGTGTTTGGCTAGATAAGAGGAAAGCTGCTTGTAGATTAGTTTTCAAAAAATTTTGACAAGTTAGGCAGGATTGATATGGATCTGTAGTTGTTAACATCTGTGAGATCACCACATTTGTGCACAGGGGTTACTCTGTTTTTTTTAGGATATCTGGAAAGGTTTGGAGTTCAATTTGTAGTAGAGTCTTGGGTATGAAGTATTCAATATGGTCTCCTTCAGCGCCTTCAGCAGCCAGCACATCTGCTCGTTCATTCCCACATATTCCAACATGGGAGGGGATCCACAGAAACTTGATGACTCTTCCCTGATTGGTAAGTACTCTCACAGCTCTCTTAATTTCAGCGACTATTGCAAGATTTTCTGCCTGATTTTTACTTAGGCTTTACAGTGCTGCTTTTGAATCGGTGCAAATCACTGCACCATTAGTGTTCCGTTCAAGAAACCTTAACGCCATAACAATGGCAGTTAGCTCTGCTTGCGTTGAAGAGGCATAGTTCTCAATACGCACTTTTTCTTCATTTCTGCGTTGGAAAGTATTATCCTTGATTACCGTGTATGCTGCACCAGCCCTGCCATTGACAGGATTAGATGACCCGTCAGTGTAGATTTGATCTAGTTCATCTCCGGCTTCTTTATAAATTTCCTCGAGATACTTGTGCCTCATTTCTTCTGGTATCATGTTGGATTTTTTCGTTGCCATTTCATTGATGATGATCTTGCATGAGTCATCCTCCCAGGGAGGTAACCTCTCTACAGGCAGGAGCTCACGGGCTTGCTCAAGCAGGTGAAGCTCTTCGAGGTAGCAGACTGATCTGTGACGCCATTTTTTGCTTCTCTTGTTTCCCCCTGAAACTAGCACAGAGCTCAGTTTTTTCTTACCAATATCATTGTAATGGGGATCTCTGGCTATCCTAATTGCAAGCTTAGCATTCAGCTCCTGAATTCTGCTTTTAACACTGGGGATCACTTGAGACAGTTAATTAAGCAAGTCCCAGCTGTGTCTGGGTACAAGTGACAGGATGAACAACCCAGCGGGTTTTCTTCCTATTGGGGAGTGTTGTACATGCTGCTATGGCGGTGTGTCCACTCACAGGATGAGTGACGCTGCCCAATACTGTCACTATGGCGGTGTGTCCACTCACAGGATGAGTGGCGCTGCCCAATACTGTCACTATGGCGGTGTGTCCACTCACAGGATGAGTGACGCTGCCCAATACTGTCACTATGGCGGTGTGTCCACTCACAGGATGAGTGACGCTGCCCAATACTGTCACTATGGCGGTGTGTCCACTCACAGGATGAGTGACGCTGCCCAATACTGTCACTATGGCGGTGTGTCCACTCACAGGATGAGTGACGCTGCCCAATACTGTCACTATGGCGGTGTGTCCACTCACAGGATGAGTGGCGCTGCCCAATACTGTCACTATGGCGGTGTGTCCACTCACAGGATGAGTGACGCTGCCCAATACTGTCACTATGGCGGTGTGTCCACTCACAGGATGAGTGGCGCTGCCCAATACTGTCACTATGGCGGTGTGTCCACTCACAGGATGAGTGACGCTGCCCAATACTGTCACTATGGTGGTGTGTCCACTCACAGGATGAGTGGCGCTGTCCAATACTGTCACTATGGCGGTGTGTCCACTCACAGGATGAGTGACGCTGCCCAATACTGTCACTATGGCGGTGTGTCCACTCACAGGATGAGTGGCGCTGCCCAATACTGTCACTATGGCGGTGTGTCCACTCACAGGATGAGTGACGCTGCCCAATACTGTCACTATGGCGGTGTGTCCACTCACAGGATGAGTGACGCTGCCCAATACTGTCACTATGGCGGTGTGTCCACTCACAGGATGAGTGACGCTGCCCAATACTGTCACTATGGCGGTGTGTCCACTCACAGGATGAGTGGCGCTGCCCAATACTGTCACTATGGCGGTGTGTCCACTCACAGGATGAGTGACGCTGCCCAATACTGTCACTATGGCGGTGTGTCCACTCACAGGATGAGTGGCGCTGCCCAATACTGTCACTATGGCGGTGTGTCCACTCACAGGATGAGTGGCGCTGCCCAATACTGTCACTATGGCGGTGTGTCCACTCACAGGATGAGTGACGCTGCCCAATACTGTCACTATGGTGGTGTGTCCACTCACAGGATGAGTGGCGCTGCCCAATACTGTCACTATGGCGGTGTGTCCACTCACAGGATGAGTGACGCTGCCCAATACTGTCACTATGGCGGTGTGTCCACTCACAGGATGAGTGGCGCTGCCCAATACTGTCACTATGGCGGTGTGTCCACTCACAGGATGAGTGACGCTGCCCAATACTGTCACTATGGTGGTGTGTCCACTCACAGGATGAGTGGCGCTGTCCAATACTGTCACTATGGCGGTGTGTCCACTCACAGGATGAGTGACGCTGACGCTGCCAAATACTGTCACTATGGCGGTGTGTCCACTCACAGGATGAGTGGCGCTGCCCAATACTGTCACTATGGCGGTGTGTCCACTCACAGGATGAGTGACGCTGCCCAATACTGTCACTATGGCGGTGTGTCCACTCACAGGATGAGTGGCGCTGCCCAATACTGTCACTATGGCGGTGTGTCCACTCACAGGATGAGTGACGCTGCCCAATACTGTCACTATGGCGGTGTGTCCACTCACAGGATGAGTGGCGCTGCCCAATACTGTCACTATGGCGGTGTGTCCACTCACAGGATGAGTGGCGCTGCCCAATACTGTCACTATGGCGGTGTGTCCACTCACAGGATGAGTGACGCTGCCCAATACTGCCACTATGGCGGTGTGTCCACTCACAGGATGAGTGGCGCTGCCCAATACTGTCACTATGGCGGTGTGTCCACTCACAGGATGAGTGACGCTGCCCAATACTGCCACTATGGCGGTGTGTCCACTCACAGGATGAGTGACGCTGCCCAATACTGTCACTATGGCGGTGTGTCCACTCACAGGATGAGTGACGCTGCCCAATACTGTCACTATGGCGGTGTGTCCACTCACAGGATGAGTGGCGCTGCCCAATACTGTCACTATGGCGGTGTGTTCACTCACAGGATGAGTGACGCTGCCCAATACTGTCACTATGGCGGTGTGTCCACTCACAGGATGAGTGGCGCTGCCCAATACTGTCACTATGGCGGTGTGTCCACTCACAGGATGAGTGGCGCTGCCCAATACTGTCACTATGGCGGTGTGTCCACTCACAGGATGAGTGACGCTGCCCAATACTGTCACTATGGCGGTGTGTCCACTCACAGGATGAGTGGCGCTGCCCAATACTGTCACTATGGCGGTGTGTCCACTCACAGGATGAGTGACGCTGCCCAATACTGTCACTATGGCGGTGTGTCCACTCACAGGATGAGTGACGCTGCCCAATAAACTCGCCCCTCGGGGCAAAATTTAAAATTTAAAATCTCCTCATTATAAGAAGCTCTTATATAAAATTTCAGTGCGACAATATAAATTGTAACAGAAGTCTCGACTCAAATCTTTTATCTTAATTTGTTCAAATGTTGTATAATATACAAATTTATTTTTCTTACTTGAGTTATTTCAAGTTCAAGTATGTTTATTGAGACAAGAAAGAAATACATCTCAGACGGAATTATTTTTTATATTTATCCTATTCTTCGGTCATAAGGTTCGTTTTACCTCAATAAACTTATTTCAATTTCAATAAGGTTCGTCAGAGTATAAATAAATAAGAGGTATTCAGTAAAGAGTCTTACACTTAGAGCGAGTCCTCCAACACGGCATCGAGTACGACCATGTAGCATCTTTATACCTTATTGCCGGTGTTGACACCAGGTGGAGTCTGTCGTCTATAACCTGCTGATGTGACACTTGGAGGACGACGCTGCCCGGTGTCTTGTCTCAGGACGCGTCTGTGAGGGATCCTGCTGCTGAGTTGTCAGATCTGTGAGGATCCTGCTGCTGAGTTGTCAGGTCTGTGAGGATCCTGCTGCTGAGTTGTCAGGTTTGTGAGGGATCCTGCTGCTGAGTTGTCAGGTCTGTGAGGATCCTGCTGCTGAGTTGTCAGGTCTGTGAGGATCCTGCTGCTGAGTTGTCAGGTTTGTGAGGGATCCTGCTGCTGAGTTGTCAGGTCTGTGAGGATCCTGCTGCTGAGTTGTCAGGTCTGTGAGGATCCTGCTGCTGAGTTGTCAGGTCTGTGAGGATCCTGCTGCTGAGTTGTCAGGTTTGTGAGGGATACTGCTGCTGAGTTGTCAGGTTTGTGAGGGATCCTGCTGCTGAGTTGTCAGGTTTGTGAGGGATCCTGCTGCTGAGTTGTCAGGTTTGTGAGGGATCCTGCTGCTGTGTTGTCAGGTTTGTGAGGGATCCTGCTGCTGAGTTGTCAGTTTTGTGAGGGATCCTGCTGCTGAGTTGTCAGGTTTGTGAGGGATCCTGCTGCTGTGTTGTCAGGTTTGTGAAGGATCCTGCTGCTGAGTTGTCAGGTTTGTGAGGGATCCTGCTTGTGAGTCAGCAAGTTAAGAGGATCCTTCTAGCCTTATTAGTAAAATTGTGTTTACCTGTTCAAGAAAATATTATCGTGTTGTCGTTACTATAAGATGTTCATATCCTGCGATATACCGGCTCAGAGAATCCTCTTTCCTGCACTCGAATTATATCTTTTTACACTTTTAATGTTATGCACTGGGTATTTAATAATTAATAATCCTATATATAATTACTGTTTATGCCAGTGTTGATGTTGGTTGAGGGGTGACGATGATCGAGGGATCAGATGCGCCCTGTAATGCCAGTGGATAGTACGTTTGTTTCTGGTCCATCACCAGCTAAATATATGTTGTATATACTGCAGCCCATCCTCCTGTTTTGGTAGTACTGTACTTAGAGTAATGATGAGGACCATAGTATATATACAGACATACAACAAAATTAGAATGTAGGAATCGGAACTGTTGAGTTAGACAAACTGGAAAACTACTTTTTACTTGTGTTGCTTTGACAAACTAACGTAACCAATCTTAAACCTCCCTAGGTTAAGATATCATACAGCAATAATCTATTGCTGTATGATATCTGAGGCCTCATATAGTACATGTGTGCTATACTAGGCCTAGGAATATTTACGTTTGTGTTCTAGCTTCATTTATTTTAAAAGAATTTCTTACTTGTTGGTATACAGTACTACTATCTAAAAGCTAAGAACGTACAAATTCTGACTATTGACGCTCATCTTAATAGGTACTATCTAAACGGGGATAGGTTGAGTACTGCATATGTGCAAAATCATGTGTCTTCCCTACATAAATCAACCAAAAATCATTTTCAATAATTGTATGATGAAACTTACTAAAATCAATATTGTTCACCAAATATCCCTGTAAATTAGGTGCATCTTATACGCCAGCAAATACAGCACACGCAGAAGTTATCGTTGTAGTTTAGTGCATTTTTGTGCCTTATTTAGAACAAGTAGTATAGCTTAATGTTTAATGAAGGGTAACAACAGTGATGTTGAAAATGTCTTCCGAAGCTTTAGTCTCTATTTGCTCTTGGTAATGATGCCCAGAAGCTGATGTTTAGGATAATTTGGTGGGCAAGATTAGTTGATATATATATCATTGTATGTTTACCATACTAAATGTTGCTGTGTGGTTGCCATACTAACTATTGCTGAATGGTTTTTATACAGTACAGTATGTCATTGCATGTTTGCCCATAAGAGATATGTATAAAATTTGAGCAGTTAATTTTGTGTCAAGAGAGACTGTTGTCTTATTTTCAAATTATGATTTTACAGCTTGACTGCAGTGATGTCGTCTACCATCTTCAAAGAGTTCCAGGAGGACGGTAAGTGTCTGGTATAACTTGAAACACGTGCTTGTTACATGAAGGATTTTGTTCCTTGTGTGTTCGTAGGGTCTTGTAGTACAGTTGGCTTTGTTCTCGACTCACAGTTGGGAATCCCACGTTCAATTCCTGGGCAGGACAGAAATGGTTGGGTACATTTCCTTTTCCCTAATGTCGCTGTTCGCCTAGTGGTGAATTGGTACCTGGGAATTAGGCAACTGTTGTTGGATTGCATTCTGGGGAAGGTCAGTAGTTTGACCTATAGGGGATCTTGATATAATCTTTATTTTGTGTGTGTGTGTGTGTGTGTGTGTGTGTGTGTGTGTGTGTGTGTGTGTGTGTGTGTGTGTGTGTGTGTGTGTGTGTGTGTGTGATTACCTAAGTGTACAGTAGTTACAGGATGAGAGCTATACTTGTGGTGTCCCGTCTTCCCAGCACTCATCATATGACACTTCGAAACTTCCGCCAGTTTTGGCCACCACCACCTCACTTAAATTGTTCCAACCGTTTACCCCCACTGTCTGTAAAAGTGAATTTTCTTATATATGTTCGGCAGCTGTGAAGACGGGATACCACGAGAGTAGCTCTCATCCTGTAATTACTTAGGTAATTACACTTCAGTAATTACAAAATTTATACATTCTGTATTGTCAAGCAAGAATGCTTTTTATATTCCTATAAACAAAGGATATGGCTTTGTTATGGTACTGTTTATTAACAGCGAATCTTTCTCTTGTTATAATAACTTTATTTTTCAGGAACATACGCACCATTTCTAGCAGATGACTTTGATGTTCAGAGCCACGCCAGTCAGCTGGTCCAGGGGGTTATAATTGCAGAGCAGCTTAATAAGCTTACGTTAGGTATGTAGTATTACATCTCGCTTTCAGAAGATTATTTTTTAATTTCATATTTTTTTGTCAGAGAATGTTGCAATAACATGGTTGGAAATAAGTAACCCAATTAATACAAATTATAGGATGGAATGCCATTATGTTTCATATGTGTGTGTTAGCTTATTCAGCTTTTTTATTACTTTTTTTTAACATAATACAAAGTTGCCAGTATTGGAATAAGCTCATGTTTGCCACTTTGGGAATTAGTTTTGTCAGAGTTTGAGGGGGTCTTCAAGTGGATATGGAATAGAAATAGAAAAGGGAGTTCAACTTTTCGATTGGTTAGAGCCTTTCTCAACAACAGACTGCCTAAGAGGAGCAGAAGGAGGGTGTTAGCCTCTTAGCTGGTCTGTTGTTAAGAAGAGCTCTAACCAACCGAAACGTTCAACTCCCTTTCCCATTTCTGTGGGGGTTTGTCGCACACCAATGATCAGTGTTTTGTGATCGTCAGTTGCATGGAATAGAAATGAACCACCAGTTGAATATCTAATTAACTGAAGATAATACAATAGTTATGACTATTGATTATTGAAGTTATTTCTGGATGCTTTTGTCACTTGCTAGCTTTTCATGTTCTTGTCGGAGCATGTTTGTTCTTACTGAAGTTTATAGTGCTTTCAAGGAATTTGCAGATACCGAACCTTGTCTATGTGAGCGGATACCAAGCCTGGGTCTTTGAGGTGCTGATATCTGGACAAATTGTTTATCACCAATAATGTACTCTGCTAGGTGCAGACAATGAGTCACAATACTGTGGTTGAAGATATGATGACCAAACCAAACACCAGAACAACCGTGGAATAACCGTTCCACGTTGTTTTGCCGGAACAACCGTGGACATCTTCAAGAGAAAACTAGATTGTTTTCTTCAAGGAGTGCCGGACCAACCGGGCTGTGATGGGTATGTAGGCCTGCGGGCCGCTCCTAGCAACAGCCTGGTGGACCAAATGCTCACAAGTCAAGCTTGGCCTCGGGCCGGGCTTGGGGAGTAGAAGAACTCCCAGAACTCCATCAAGCAGGTACCAGAAGATGAAGAAACAACGACTAAGTGTCGTCGTCGTTCCTTGCTAGGTACAACGTCGGTGTACCTTGCAAGGTGTCTACCCAACCCATCCTCTTTCAAATTGTCACTTTTCGCTCATATGTGCACTCAGGCTAAAAATTGATGTAATTCAAAATTAAATCGGGTCACCAAAGTGACGTACTGTCCTGTTTTTAGTTTTAGGTCCTCTGGTTTAGTTTGTTAGGTTAAGAGAGGAAATTTTCAATTAACGGTTTTCATGAAGTTTGAAACCTTAGGAGAACTTCCAGTCCTCCTAACCTACCAGAGGACCTTTAACGTGCTGTTTTCAAAAAAGTCCAAAATGTAATTGGAAAATAAATTTCCATTTTGAATTACGTCGATATTTGGCCGTAGTGCATATGAGCGAAAAGCGACGTAATTTGTAAGAGGACGGGCTGGTCTACCTATGTGTCATTCTACTGTGTACTGATCCTTCATCTGCCTGAAAGCAAGAGGGAACCAATTAACAGTAAGCAATAGACCTGAAAATAAAAAAAATACTTTTGTTATATATCTAACATATCATAACATATAACTTAGGGAGCCGTTCGGCCGAGCGGACAGCACGCTGGACTTGTGATCCTGTGGTCCCGGGTTCGATCCCGGGCGCCGGCGAGAAACAATGGGCAGAGTTTCTTTCACCCTATGCCCCTGTTACCTAACAGTAAAATAGGTACCTGGGTGTTAGTCAGCTGTCACAACTGCTTCCTGGGGGTGGAGGCCTGGTCGAGGACCGGGCCGCATGGACACCAAAGCCCCGAAATCATCTGAAAATAACATATATTTTCATATTTCATATTTCAGTATGTTATTGAGGTCTATTCTAAGAGATTTAGGCATTTGTGGATTTTTATTTTCCAGCAGTGCAGGTGCTACATATTCCTGCATCAGTTACTAGAAGCTGGCAACTGTATCACCATAGAATTTGTATATAATTGGGAAAAACTTGAATATTTGTTTGTTACAGGAATCAATCGACTGGAGCGTGAGATTGAGAGTCAAGTGGGAAGCCACTACGAAGACCTCTTGTCTCAGGCCACTGGAGTGGAGACACTGGAGGATGTGCTAAACACCATGCACACCAGGATCCAGGTACACACTTCTCTTCTTGCTGATATGTGCGTTGTGCACCGTGCTCACATGTGTACGTTGTGCACCTTGCTCACGTATGTACGCTCTGCACCTTGCTCACATATGTACGTTGTGCACCTTGCTCACGTATGTACGCTCTGCACCTTGCTCACGTATGTACGTTGTTCACCGTGCTCACATGTGTACGTTGTGCACCTTGCTCACGTATGTACGCTCTGCACCTTGCTCACATGTGTACGTTGTGCACCTTGCTCACGTATGTACGCTCTGCACCTTGCTCACGTATGTACGTTGTTCACCTTGCTCACATGTGTACGTTGTTCACCTTGCTCACGTATGTACGTTGTGCACCTTGCTCACGTATGTACGCTGTGCACCTTGCTCACATATGTACGTTGTTCACCTTGCTCACATGTGTACGTTGTTCACCTTGCTCACATGTGTACGCTGTGCACCTTGCTCACATATGTACACTGTGCACCTTGCTCACATGTGTATGCTGTGCACCTTCCTCACATGTGTACGCTGTGCACCTTGCTCACATGTGTACGCTGTGCACCTTGCTCACATATGTACGCTGTGCACCTTGCTCACATATGTACGCTGTGCACCTTGCTCACATGTGTACGCTGTGCACCTTGCTCACATGTGTACGCTGTGCACCTTGCTCACATGTGTACGCTGTGCACTGTGCTCACATATGTACACTGTGCACCTTGCTCACATATGTACACTGTGCACCTTGCTCACATGTGTATGCTGTGCACCTTCCTCACATGTGTATGCTGTGCACCTTCCTCACATGTGTACGCTGTGCACTGTGCTCACATATGTATGCTGTGCACCTTGCTCACATATGTACACTGTGCACCAAATCTGTGCAAAAAATCATCTCAAGATAACCACCTTGCTCACATACGTACACTGTGCACCTTGCTCACATGTTTGAGATAGAATGCGAGAAGAGAGTGAAGGAACTGTGTCCTACCCCTCGGAACATCAGGGCCTGTAGTAATACCTTACCTTACCTTGAGGTTACCTTGAGGTGCTTCCGGGGCTTAGCGTCCCCGCGGCCCGGTCGTCGACCAGGCCTCCTGGTTGCCGGACTGATCAACCAGGCTGTTGGACGCAGCTGCTCGCAGCCTGACGTATGAGTCACAGCCTGGTTGATCAAGTATCCTTTGGAGGTGCTTATCCAGTTCTCTCTCTTGAACACTGTGAGGGGTCGGCCAGTTATGCCCCTTATGTGTAGTGGAAGCGTGTTGAACAGTCTCGGACCTCTGATGTTGATAGAGTTCTCTCTCAGAGTACCAGTTGCACCTCTGTTTTTCAACGGGGGTATTTTGCACATCCTGCCATGTCTTCTGGTCTCATGTGATGTTATTTCTGTGTGCAGGTTTGGGACCAGCCCCTCTAATATTTTCTACGTGTAAATTATTATGTACCTCTCCCGCCTGCACTCAAGGGAGTACAGTTTTAGGCTCTTTAGTCGGTCCCAATAGTTTAGATGTTTTACTGAGTGGATTCTAGCAGTAAAGGATCTCTGCACGCTCTCCAGGTCAGCAATTTCTCCAGCTTTGAAAGGTGCTGTCATTGTGCAGCAGTACTCCACTCTAGAGAGCACAAGCGTTTTGAAAAGTATCATCATCGGTATAGCATCTCTAGTGTGAAAAGTTCTTGTTACCCAACCTGTCATTTTTCTTGCAGTTAATATCCGTCATATTCAAATATGTCGCATACAAATATACCTTTCAAAGCTGATATAATGCCAATAGAGTACTTGTACCGGAGGCACACATATACATATACCTTTGAGACATATAATGCCAGTACTTGAACTGAAGACACACATAAATATAAGAACATTAATAGCATATGAGAAACTGTTTAACATAAGCAAGGCATTCAGAACATAAACAAGGTCTCTTTCAAGACAATTTATACAGCCTACATCAGGCCAATCATAGAATATACAGCACCAACGTGGAATTCACATCTAGTGAAATGAAAAGTAGATTGAGAAAGCACAGAGATTTGCAAGAAGACTAGTAAAATAATTAAGCGAACTGAATTTGAACGACAGGTTAATGGGAAATCAGTCTTAACCTCAGATGAAAGAAGGAACGTAGGGGGATATGATCACTACATACACAATACTAAGGGGAATAAGAAGTTGAATAAGAAAGCCTCTGTAAAGTGAGAGAAAGTTGAACATGAGGACATTGGTAGAAGCTGGAAAAGAAAATGAGTCAAAGAATTGTAATGAAGTTAAATACACTGAAAGAAGGTTGTGGTAGCCATCTGCATCCATAGTTTCAAGAGCAGATACAGTATGACTCAGAAGTCAGATGTCAAAACATATAAGAAATGCACCAGGCACAAAAAGGTAGGAGGCTTTAGACGGAGACAGAGAGAGCTCATATTCGTGTAGCCAGTGATTAATAAGTCCCACCATCACACCCAAACGGTCTCTGGTGGCATAGTTGATAGCACACTCATCCGACCGTCCAAGTGATTGGGCACCATTCTTTCCCCCCGTCCCATCCCAAATCCTTATCCTGACCCCTTCCCAGTGCTATATAGTTGTAATGGCTTGGTGCTTTCTCCTGATAATTCCCTCCGTTCCCTTCACCTGCCTCTCATGAGCAATTTCATCTGGGTTGGAGCCCTGGCCAGGAAGAATCGACAGTCTGCCAATCCTCAATTGTTCTCCCCTGTTCACCCCGAGCAGTAATTGGGACCTGGTTAAGTGAATTACGTTCCAGAAATAACTAGTAAGACTGGCTATGAGCTATGGGAAGGGAAAGCTATAAAGCTGCTAACGGGAGTCAGTAGTCGTCTACTCCTGTACCGGTGTGTTAAACAAAACTAGTGTGCATTTCTGCACCCTGCGATCATTGCACCCCATTGTTGACTACTCATTACACCAGTGCTTTAATATCCCAGTATTTAACAGCCAGGAGATACCTCTCTTGGTCAACTTCAACCAATGTAGTTAATGGTAAGTTACGATGGTCTTTCCGAGATTCACGTGGTGAATTTATATGCACAATGAAATCAAAGAACTTGATGTATGATTGAGAAGATGTTGAATGCACGTGCCGAGAATGTCCAGGGATACATGTTCAGTCCTATCGTAGGACCTCAGTATTTTCTTAGGAATTTATATATCTGGGAATTAGCCAAGCTGTTTATTCTTTGTTCAGACACTCTTGGCTGGAGTCGAACGGTTGAGAGTCCGAGTTGTGGATCCGTACCAGAGAGTGGAAAGACACACACTTGTTTTAGGCAGACTTCAAGCAACCTGTGAACTTCTGCGACGTGTCATCCGCTGTCTGATGTTGTCACAGAGACTACAGCAACAATTGTCAAGTGAGCCCCGGGACATTACGAAAGCTGCCATTAGCCTCAGCGAGCTAGGTTGGTATATTATGGTTTGTTTGGTGAAACTTGGCAGACTTATAACTTAACCACTTGATATTTTGCCATTTGATGTTTTTACATTTTAATAACGTTAACAAAATGTTATGTTGTGTATTTGGCGGGAAGTAGTGATTATGTTCAAACAAGAAAAGCATTGAATATTAATGTTAGTTTCTTGATTGTTTTCTTTGGGGTTCAGCACTAGACTTGCTGTCATGTGTGCGCTCTTGTATATATAAATAAATAAACGAATAAATAAATAAACGGATAAATAAATAAATAAGTGTTTCATACCACTTGATGCCACCTCATTTGCTGCTCTATTACAGATCACTTGGGGCGTGACGTTGACCTGACAGGGCTAGATGTGTTGGAACGGGATCAGAGGCTGGTACGGCAAGCGCGTTCAGATGTTGAAAAGCAAGCAGTTGTTATGATGGACCGTGGTATGGAGCTGCAGAATCAGACTCAGGTCAGCTGTTTTGGAGCCTTTACTTTGTATGTTACTTAACGAATTTATGCACAACGGCGTATAAGTGAGTGAAGAATGTATAGCATGGTAAAATTACATTATTTCTTGTGGGAAAATTTTTTTCGAGTTACACATTTTTGAGTTATGACCCGTCTGTGGGAACGGATTAAATTCATAAATTGAGGTACCACTGCACTGTATTCCAAAAAAATAATATTGGACTCAAAATTGTGACCTGTTTTTGCATACTATCATAGGCCTATTGCAACATTTTTGCAAAAATGGTTTATAGTTTTTTTATTAAAGTAATGTTTTTCCTTCAGGTTGGAACAGCTCTGCAAGTGTTCCATAACTTAGGGATCCTGGTAACAAGTGTGGAAAAGGTGTTGGATTCCCTTATTGGTAGACTGAATAAGAGTGTCTCACTCACCCTAGATGTGAACGCCCTCTTGCAAATGAGTCAGGATACGAGAAAAAGTAAGTATAGTAATAGTAACCTGGGACAGATTCACGAAGCAGAGAGTAAGTCACAATATTGAGGCTGAAAATTAATTACCCAACTCAGACACGGAAGGAAGGGGAAAGTGACGACGATGGAAACATCACATCGTAACTTTTCTCTCGTGTATGTAGTTCAGGAACCAGATTCACGAAGCAGTTACGCAAGTACTTACGAACGTGTACATCTTTCCTCAATCTTTGACGGCTTTGGTTACATTCATTAAACCATTTACAAACATGAAAACTTCCCAATCAACTGTTGTTATTGTTATAAACAGCCTCCTGGTGCTTCGGAGCTCATTAACTGTTTAATAATTGTAAACAAAGCTGCCAAAGATTGAGAAAAGATGTACAGGTTCGTAAGTTCTTGCGTAACTGCTTCGTGAATCTGGTTCCTGAACTACATACACAAGAGAAAAGTTACGATGTGATGTTTCCATCGTCGTCACTTTCCCCTTCCTTCCGTGTCTGAGTTGGGTAATTAATTTTCAGCCTCGATATTGTGACTTACTCTCTGCATAAGTACAGTATTAGTCTTTGATTTATAGCAAAATAATACAATGTATTGAATCTACAGTATTGAAAAGATTTTTATATTGGAAATGGTTGAAGAGGATGGTTATGGAGAATACAATATTCATAAAATTTAATTACAGTATAGTATACAGTATATGATGTTCACTTTACTTTTTGTTGTGAGTGCAGAAAATCCCCGACTTCCCAAACAATTTTATGACGTTCTGGTAAATCGGGTAACCAGTTGGAGCTAAATTTTGCTCAGTGATTAAATTGCCATTTTTCATTTTACTATCGGACAGGGAAAAATAATATTCAAAGAGAACTTTGAAGGTGTGAAAAGGGCATTTCCTAGCATGTTATTTTACTACTTTCATCTGTTGTATATCTTACATACCTTAAAGACTTGGGACTTGCAGTCAGGCAAAGGATATGCTGTATAGCATCAACACCACAATGACGTAGTGCCCCCTGCCTGGTAGGGGGCCTGGTGGAAAGCGCACAGGACTCATAATTCTGTGTCGCGGGTTCGATTCCCGCACCAAGCAGAAACAAATGGGCAAAGTTTCTTTCACCCTGATGCCCCTGTTACCTAGCAGTAAATAGGTACCTGGGAATTAGACAGCTGTTACGGGCTGCTTCCTGGGGGTGTGTAACAAAAAAGAGGCCTGGTCGAGGACCGTGCCGCGGGGACGCTAAGCCTCGAAATCATCTCAAGATAACCTCATCTCAAGATAACCTCATCTCAAGATAACCTGCAGTGTCGTGTGTGCGGGAGAGACTGGCTGTTTTGACGGTCACAGTTTGATAAGAATCCTGAACGAACTGAAACATCACGTTCTTTTCGTGTCTGTTTGGGTTGAGTTAATTGTCTTGACCTCAGTATTTTGAGTTATTGTCTGTGTAGTAGACTGAGGCTTGAAATTTTCACAAGCACAAGTCCTTACAGAACTGCCAGTCTTGTCTCATTTGTAATTGCAAATGCTCTCGTGAATGTTTGCAGTTACCCTGGAGAACCTAATCTTTCAATTGCAAACAAGCTTGCACCACCACCACCAGATGGCAGCACTTTTGCCAAACTGGGTCAGCATTTTTATTTCCTCCTAAAAGTACTGTACGTACGAAAAAAAGGAAAAAATCGGAAGAAGTAAAAGTCGCCATAGCGTGGTGGTGTTGCCACAATCTGGTTGATGCACATCTAGATTTTTAAAGGAAGTTATGTAATTTACCTTAATGATGTACGCCTGTAACTTATTCCACTCGTCAATCACCATCTCCTTCCGGAAACTGATCTTCTCTAGCTTACTTTTTATTTTTTTTTTTTTTTTTTTATTTGTGTATACAGTATACACAAGAGTTCTTACTTTCTTGTACAGCCACTAGCACGCACATCGTTTCGGGTAAGTCCGTAATCCTAATTTTCACATACACATCCCCAGAAAGCAGGCCGTAGCAGCTGTCTAACTCTCGGGTACCTATTTACTGCTAGGTGAACAGAGACATCAGGGTGAAAGAAACTCTGCCCATCTGTTTCCGCCTCCGCCGGGATTGAACCCGGATTCTTAGGACAACAAACCCGGATCCTTAGGACTACGAACCCGGATCCTTAGGACTACGAACCCGGATCCTTAGGACTACGAACCCGGATCCTTAGGACTACGAACCCGGATCCTTAGGACTACGAACCTGGATCCTTAGGACTACGAACCCGGATCCTTAGGACAACAAACCCGGATCCTTAGGACTACGAACCCGGATCCTTAGGACTACGAACCTGGATCCTTAGGACTACGAACCCGGATCCTTAGGACTACGAGCCCGGATCCTTATGACTACGAACCCGGATCCTTAGGACTACGAACTCGGATCCTTAGGGCTACGAACCCGGATCCTTAGGACTACGAACCCGGATCCTTAGGACTACGAACCCGGATCCTTAGGACTATGCACCCGGATCCTTAGGACTACGAACCCGGATCCTTAGGACTACGAACCCGGATCCTTAGGACTACGAACCCGGATCCTTAGGACTATGAACCCCGAGTGCTGTCCACTCAGCAGTCAGGTCGCAGAGCATGGTCATTGTAATGGGTGTTGACCTGGTGTGATAGTTACAAGACCTGGCTCATGTCTCTCCTTGTTGATATCCCTCCTTCACTTAAAGACCTCGATCATGTCTTCCCTCATCCTTTACATAGGCCAACCTTCCCTTGTGTGACAGATCCTGAGGACTAGGAATATGTCTAGTCATTCTTCTTTGGATTTTCTTGAGTGAATTGGTGGTCCACTCTGAAATACAATGGCCAGAATTGGATGCCTTGGTAGGACTGAGACCTAACTAGTGCTGAATGTAATTGGGGGATTTGTGCATTTATTATAGATTCTTCTGGTTAGAAATCCAAACATTCTTTTCACTGTGTACATGCACCTGATGTTCTGCTGGTTGATGTTGGGTCACTGCCAATTGTAACTACCCGAGTCTCCTTCGCAACTCGGTTTGCCTAAATATAGATCATGCTTCCAGTAAGATAATGTTTCACTTTCAATTCTCAAGTTTAGAAATTTGCACTTGCCAATGCTGATCTTCATTTGCCACTTTTCCAGCCAAGTCTGCAGTGCGATGAAGTCTTTTTGGAGTTCCGCCAAGTCGTCATCTAACCTACCAGGGGACCCAAAACAGAAACGGGACAGTATATCAATTTCGCGAGCTGCTTCCATTTTCTAGTACAACAATTGTTGGCCTTATGTAATGCACACAAGCGAAAAGCGACATTCTTTGTAGGTGGACAGGTTGGGTTGTGAGCCATAGACACAGACCACTGTGCTACAGTAGGAGGACAGGTTGGGTTGTGAGCCGTAGACACAGACCACTGTGCTACAGTAGGAGGACAGGTTGGGTTGTGAGCCGTAGACACAGACCACTGTGCTACAGTAGGAGAACAGGTTGGGTTGTGAGCCATAGACACAGACCACTGTGCTACAGTAGGAGGACAGATTGGGTTGTGAGCCGTAGACACAGACCACTGTGCTACAGTACGAGGACAGGTTGGGTTGTGAGCCATAGACACAGACCACTGTGCTACAGTAGTAGGACAGATTGGGTTGTGAGCCGTAGTCACAGACCACTCTGCTACAGGACCAGGTGTGCTGGTACACAAGATTGACTTGTGTGTATCTTTGTCCTTGGGAGCAGCAAGACTTGCCTAAGAAGGCAACAGCTACTTGCTCAAAAGCATTTTCCATCTACTCTCAAAGCCATATTTATAAAATAAATTTTTAAAATTACCATTCTCAGCAGGGAAAGTTCTCTCAAAATATTTCAACACAATAGATCATTGATGCAATTGAAAAATAGTAGCCTTTGAATGCTACCTTGAGATTACCTCATATTTAGATTTATGAAAAGGTTTCTGATTACTTTCAAGTGATGAGTACAGGAACCATTTGGGTCTCATGTCCATTTTGTTTTTATTATAGAATGTTGTACTTTATTGATATTCAGTATGACATCATTATTGTGAGATTGTGACATGCAGGTGGTCCTGGGAAAGCCATCATGCCTGGTCCGGGTCAGTCGGTGCAGTTCCGAGCGTCTCTCTGGTCCAACCTTGAGAAACTGATGGATGACATATACCATGCATGTGTCCAAACTTCCCATCTTCATAAGGTAAGAAGAATTGCCACGATGACCAAACCACGCGTCAGAAGATGGAGAAATGACGACGTTTCGGTCCGTCCTGGACCATTATCAAGTTGTATGCCTTGATACGACTTGATAATGGTTCGGGACGGACCGAAACGTCGTCGTCTCTTCATCTTCTGGTGTGTGGTTTGGTTGTCATATCTTCAGCCACGTTATTGTGACTGACCGTCTGCAAAAGAATTACCATGTAGAATTCAACCATTTCTGTCTACCAGTGTCGACTTTTACTGTCTGCCTATGATGACTTGTGCTGTCAACCTGTGGCAATTATGTGTGCACTTATTTAGATTATTTCTATTGCAGCTGTCTTCCTGTAGCGACTGTTTCTCTCTACCTGTATTTAATGCTGCTTATTGTTCTCAGAATGGCAGACTTTCGCAGATTTTCCTTCATATATTATGATATTTAATATGGTATCCTATAGTCCAGTTGTCTAGTGTCGTCACCTAACAACAGAGGGGTACGAGTCCAATCCCTGGGCAGGACAGAAATATTGCACACATTGGACATTTCTTGTTTTGTGCATATATGCTGTTCTCCTTGACTGTGCTTGATGTGTGCCCAAAGATTTCGTCCTCCTAAGTTTATCCAACATCAAGACAATGGTGAATTTAGAGTGTCCATTTTCTTGTACGACAATTTTTGACCTCATGTAACGCATACGATCGAAATGCGAATTTCTTCGTAAGAGGACAAGTTGGCCCAAAATGAAGTGAGAACTTAAGGGAGCAGCCACATACAAGAGTTCAATAATGGGCTGTTGATGTTGATAAGTGGAATGTTAGAGGAAATAATAATAATAATAATAATAATAATAATAATAATAATAATAATTATTTCTTTTCTCTTCAAGGTTCTAGCAAAGAAGCGGGACCCTGTGACACATGTTTGCTTTTTAGAAGAGGTGCAGCGTCATGGGAAAAGTGATTTGTTTACACGAGTGTGGAGAAATATTACCCGAATTTTGACAGTCGAGTTTGCTAAAGCTGCTCAAGGTAATTATTGGCTTTATTATGTCTATATTATCTGCATCTATGTTGAATAATGAATGTAGAGTTAAATATGAATGAAGAACTTTGTTAAGATGGGCAAACCACACACCAGAAAATGAAGAAATATTGTTTCTTCATTTTTTGATGTGTGGTGTTCCCTTCCCTAGGCACTCACCGGTGTTTCCCCGGCCCAGACAGGGTTGCTTCCCAAGTGGGTTCGGGTATTCATCCCACAGAGGCCAGCCTCCAGTGGAGAGTGCCTTTCCCTAAATAGTGCAAGGGTTTTTTACTCCTCTGTGAGGTACTAAGAGCGAGGGCATTCTGCGGTTAATGATTAAGAGGTGAACTAGGGTTCAAGTGCTTGTACATATGGCATGCTGCTGCTGCTGCCTCTGCTGCTGCTGCTGCCTCTGCTGCTGCTGCCCTTCATAGTCAAGGTTTTCCTCAGGGAAAGTATTAGTTCTGTTCAGTATTTTGGCGAGTGGCCCAAGTCCTAGATGTCCAGTTTGGTTTACCTTCAGTTGCTAGTAGTCCCCGTGGATCATCTTCGATCACTTCACCGAGCCCGCACTCATTTCTTGAGAGTTTGAGGAATGTTCATAGGTCGCTGCTTTGCTGCTTGTTGAGTGGGTATTACTCTCTACCTTAAGGCCTGGGATGTTTGGATTTCGCTGAGTTCTTATTTTAGCTGGAGCCTCTGTCTAATGATTTTCTGTTTACTTTTGTAGTAATGAGGCTTAACAGGTAATTACCTAAGTGTAGTTACAGGATGAGAGCTACACTCATGGTGTCCCGTCTTCCCAGCACTCTTTGTCGTATAATGCTTTGAAACTACTGACGGTTTTGACCTCTGGCAACCACTTCAGGTTTGTTTACCTGTTTTTCTTGTTTTTGACTTCGGTGCTCAAGTGTTTGTCGTGGAGTTGGCCCTTTTGGTTTTTAGGGATTTGATGTTGGAGTGGTTAATTGTACTGGTGCTATGTTTGTTCCTCTTCCTCCCTTCCACTGTCTGGTATGAGTCTCTTGTAACCCCTTCCCCCCAACCCTTGCTCCAGGCTCTGGAACATCTGAGGGTTTTGAGTCCAGACTTCAATTAGTTTTGGGTGTAGCTTGGCCTTCTCTGGGACCCATAGCTGTGTTTCTCAAGGGATGTATTGGGCTTGGATCCTTTGGGTGTGGAGATGCCTTGCTCAAAGAAATCATGTTAATGTGATGTATCAATGAAAAATATTTCATATATTTTATATATGAAATATATAAATACAATGTATTTTCTATTTATCATGAGCTGATATCCAGGCTTGGGGTTTTGGAGGTCTTTTAGTGTTCTGGGTGATTGTTAAGTGGTCAGTTTTCCCGGTCTTCTTCGTGCTTTTGTTGTCCTGTGAAGGGTTTCTTTTTCTCTCCCATTTTTACTCTTTATATTCTCTGTGGTGAGTCCCATTTTCTCTGTGGTTAAGTACAGGTAGCCACCATTTGGCCTTTCTAGAAAACTCAGTGTTGAATGTAATGAAACACTTTTTTCTGCAATGGGCCTCAATGGCTCCCTGGACTCTTCCCACCATGTGCATCATTTAGATATTCTTAGGCTCTGGCTTGAGGGTTGTTGATACCTGGAGCCGGCAGATTCCGTGGTGTTGTCACCTGGTCAGGTGTTACTGGGGGGAGGGGGGGGGGGGTATGACCCGACTCGTGGGTGGATCGTTTTACGACCCCTTCCTTGACATCTGGGTATGGTTCATGCCTTACAGTTGTAACGATTAAGTAGTAACTGTGGCTTTGCCAATATCAATGTCTAGAGATAAATGGACCATTCTCAAGTCAATTGTCGAGAATGGTCCAGGACGGTCCACAATCGACTTTCGGTCCAGGACGGACTGAAACATCGTCTTCCTCTCACCTTCTTGAGTGTGTGGTCTGGTCAAATTGTTTCCTCAGTGATGAACATCTGCATGCACATCTGTGACATGGGGGTCAGGCTTTACCTTCTCAACTCTGGCATTATTTAAGGACTTGTGTAGCCATATCAGCTACAGGGAGTCACTGAAGTCTCTTCAGAAAGAGTTGTTTCATTGCGTTCAACACGTATTTTGCACAAGTTTATTTTTTCTCTCGCAGACTCTACGTTCATTCGACAGTATTTAGAAGTAGACTACCCCAAGCTGATACGTCTGTATGGAGATCTGTGGCGGAGACTGGAGGGTATTAGCATGGAGATGAGAAGTGTTAACACAGATGTCACATCAGCTTTAGATGAAAGTGTTGAAAATAGAGATGAAGTGGATAAGATGGATAAACACACTCAGGAATTTGAGTAAGTTTTTTATTTATTTATTTAAATACTTATGTACTTATAGAAAGTGTAAAGAATCTTTGGTTTAGGCAGCACTTATTTATTTATTTATTTATTTATTTATATATATACAAGAAGGTACATTGGGTTTGTGAGAATACATTGGATAGTACAGTATTTACATTCTTGTAAAGCCACTACTACGCGCAGCGTTTCGGGCAGGTCCTTAATCTAGCAGATAATTTTAAGTAGGTAAAATTCATTGCGTTCACTTGTGTTGGTTCCTACATTATTAAAGGTAACAAGAGTGCTTATACTTTATGGAAGGAATCATTAAATTGTGATTACACATTAGTGAAGTTACAGGATGATAGTTATGACTGAGGTCTCCCATTTTCCCTATCTTTCCTTCCGACATTTTGAACCTTTCGATGGCTTGGACGTATACTACACTGGTATAGGGTCCTGTGTTAGTCCGTGTCCTTGGCTCACAACTAAGGAACCCGAGTTCAATCTCTGAGTAAGATAGAAATTGTTGGGCACGTTTTGTTTCACCTGATGCAACTGTTCACCTAGCAATAACATAGATACCTGGGAGTTAGGAAACTGTTGGGGAATTGCCTGCTGGGAAATGTCAGTACTTGGCCTAGGGAGGCCTGGATAGACCTAAGTACAGGCTTCCTGTCCCAAACAACGAGAATTATTACTACTGTACTTTTATAATTGCTTACATCTGTCTACCTCTTCATTTGCAAGAAATAATTTTCAAAGTTGAACAATATCTTTATCTTGCAGACAAGGAGTCACAATAACGTGGCTGAATTATGTTGACCAAACCACACACTAGAAAGTGAAGGGACAACAACATTCTCACAATCGACATGAGAATGGCCCAGGACGGACCGAAACGTCGTCGTCCCTTCACTTTCTAGTGTGTGGTCTGGTCAACACCTTTGTGTTGGTTTGATTGTATGACCATGTTGTGGTGTTTGTGATTGTAGCCCCGAGCAAGCTTTGAGAGGCACGCTTGTTCCCCTAGAGGAAGCCTACCTGTCACGATCTCGTTCAAGACTCTTGGATCCCGTCAATCTCATGTTTGCAGCTCAGGATGCACCACCCGCAAAAGAAGAAGTTGATGCCCTCATAAAAACAATTACGAGGTAAGGACTTGCTGTAATTATGCTATGTAAAATGCGGATAAATATGGTAGTACACTTTAGATATGCCATATATACTTGCCTAATCATTGATCATGCGTAATGCTATTCAGGCTCACATTATATAGCTATTAATATAAAGTTTTTCTAATGTAAAATATATTCTAATCTGTGATGTAAAGTGTCATTATTTGAGATGGACATTTGAACAGCAGCTATGTAAAGTGGTTTCAACTTGTCCCCAGTGAGCTTAACGTATCGGCCGTGGACAAGTCACTGAGCGAGACGGTAGCCAAAAATGTTGCCGAATCTCTCCAGCTGTTCTGCGTCAAGTGTAAACAGTTGGTTGTTACCAGTGCGGATGCCACACAAGTTATTGGTGAGTTGACGCACACTTTCATAGTATCTTACACTTACTGTAATTTATAGCAACAGTGTTTAGAAATAAAGCAAATAAGTTTAGAAATAAAACTTTTATGGCTTATGATAATATTACTACAATTGAAGGAAGAGGTTGTTGGGTACTGTTGAAGGAAGAGGTTGTTGGGTACTGTTGAAGGAAGAGGTTGTTGGGTACTGTTGAAGGAAGAGGATGTTGGGTACTGTTGAAGGAAGAGGTTGTTGGGTACTGTTGAAGGCAGAGGTTGTTGGGTACTGTTGAAGGAAGAGGATGTTGGGTACTGTTGAAGGAAGAGGTTGTTGGGTACTGTTGAAGGAAGAGGTTGTTGGGTACTGTTGAAGGAAGAGGTTGTTGGGTACCGTTGAAGGAAGAGGATGTTGGGTACTGTTGAAGGAAGAGGTTGTTGGGTACTGTTGAAGGCAGAGGATGTTGGGTACTGTTGAAGGAAGAGGTTGTTGGGTATTGTTGAAGGAAGAGGTTGTTGGGTACCGTTGAAGGAAGAGGATGTTGGGTACTGTTGAAGGAAGAGGTTGTTGGGTACTGTTGAAGGAAGAGGATGTTGGGTACTGTTGAAGGCAGAGGATGTTGGGTACTGTTGAAGGAAGAGGATGTTGGGTACTGTTGAAGGAAGAGGTTGTTGGGTACTGTTGAAGGAAGAGGATGTTGGGTACTCTTGAAGGCAGAGGTTGTTGGGTACTGTTGAAGGAAGAGGTTGTTGGGTACTGGGCCTCGTAGGCCTCGTAGCCTGGTGGATAGCGTGCAGGACTCGTAATTCTGTGGCGCGGGTTCGATTCCCGCACGAGGCAGAAACAAATGGGCAAAGTTTCTTTCACCCTGAATGCCCCTGTTACCTAGCAGTAAATAGGTACCTGGGTGTTAGTCAGCTGTCACGGGCTGCTTCCTGGGGGTGGAGGCCTGGTCGAGGACCGGGCCGCGGGGACACTAAAGCCCCGAAATCATCTCAAGATAACCTCAAGAGATACTGTTGAAGGCAGAGGTTGTTGGGTACTGTTGAAGGCAGAGGTTGATGGGTACTGTTGAAGGAAGAGGATGTTGGGTACTGTTGAAGGAAGAGGTTGTTGGGTACTGTTGAAGGAAGAGGATGTTGGGTACTGTTGAAGGCAGAGGATGTTGGGTACTGTTGAAGGAAGAGGATGTTGGGTACTGTTGAAGGAAGAGGTTGTTGGGTACTGTTGAAGGAAGAGGATGTTGGGTACTGTTGAAGGCAGAGGTTGTTGGGTACTGTTGAAGGAAGAGGATGTTGGGTACTATTGAAGGCAGAGGTTGTTGGGTACTGTTGAAGGAAGAGGTTGATGGGTACTGTTGAAGGCAGAGGTTGATGGGTACTGTTGAAGGAAGAGGATGTTGGGTACTGTTGAAGGAAGAGGTTGTTGGGTACTGTTGAAGGAAGAGGTTGATGGGTACTGTTGAAGGCAGAGGTTGATGGGTACTGTTGAAGGAAGAGGATGTTGGGTACTGTTGAAGGAAGAGGATGTTGGGTACTATTGAAGGAAGAGGTTGTTGGGTACTGTTGAAGGAAGAGGATGTTGGGTACTGTTGAAGGAAGAGGTTGTTGGGTACTGTTGAAGGAAGAGGTTGTTGGGTACTGTTGAAGGCAGAGGATGTTGGGTACAATTGAAAGAAGATGTGGTGAAGTACAATTTGGTTCACAGCTTAAAAAGTAGATTCTTAAGTCTCTGTAACAGACTTAAAGAATCAGTTAGTTTTCCTACAGGTTAGGTCTCCTAACCTATAAGTAAAGCTACATTAGAGTTTCTTCAGTTGGCAAAACCAGATCATTTGGCACTTTGGCCGCTCAAAAAAACATTGTTCGGCCTTAATTTCCATCTTGACTAACATAACAATATAGTTCTATAACGAGAAATTTTACAACAAAGATAGTAAGTCTTTTTTCTTGGATTGCAAATTCTCTTGTCTAATTACTTAATTGTTTGGCATGGTTGAAAGTGCCGTAACGATAACAAACCCATAACGCTACTGATTCATCTATGTGTGTTGTAGTGTACTTGTAAACCCATAATGCAGCTGCTTCATCTGTGTTGTTGTGTACTTGTAAACCCATAATGCAGCTGCTTCATCTGTGTTGTCGTGTACTTGTAAACCCTTAATGCAGCTGCTTCATCTGTGTTGTCGTGTACTTGTAAACCCATAATGCAGCTGCTTCATCTGTGTTGTCGTGTACTTGTAAACCCATAATGCAGCTGCTTCATCTGTGTTGTCGTGTACTTGTAAACCCTTAATGCAGCTGTTTCATCTGTGTTGTTGTGTACTTGTAAACCCATAATGCAGCTGCTTCATCTGTGTTGTTGTGTACTTGTAAACCCATAATGCAGCTGCTTCATCTGTGTTGTTGTGTACTTGTAAACCCATAATGCAGCTGCTTCATCTGTGTTGTCGTGTACTTGTAAACCCTTAATGCAGCTGTTTCATCTGTGTTGTTGTGTACTTGTAAACCCATAATGCAGCTGCTTCATCTGTGTTGTTGTGTACTTGTAAACCCATAATGCAGCTGCTTCATCTGTGTTGTTGTGTACTTGTAAACCCATAATGCAGCTGCTTCATCTGTGTTGTCGTGTACTTGTAAACCCATAATGCAGCTGCTTCATCTGTGTTGTCGTGTACTTGTAAACCCATAATGCAGCTGCTTCATCTGTGTTGTCGTGTACTTGTAAACCCTTAATGCAGCTGCTTCATCTGTGTTGTCGTGTACTTGTAAACCCATAATGCAGCTGCTTCATCTGTGTTGTCATGTACTTGTAAACCCATAATGCAGCTGCTTCATCTGTGTTGTCGTGTACTTGTAAACCCATAATGCAGCTGCTTCATCTGTGTTGTCGTGTACTTGTAAACCCATAATGCAGCTGCTTCATCTGTGTTGTCGTGTACTTGTAAACCCATAATGCAGCTGCTTCATCTGTGTTGTTGTGTACTTGTAAACCCTTAATGCAGCTGCTTCATCTGTGTTGTCGTGTACTTGTAAACCCATAATGCAGCTGCTTCATCTGTGTTGTCGTGTACTTGTAAACCCTTAATGCAGCTGCTTCATCTGTGTTGTCGTGTACTTGTAAACCCATAATGCAGCTGCTTCATCTGTGTTGTCGTGTACTTGTAAACCCATAATGCAGCTGCTTCATCTGTGTTGTCGTGTACTTGTAAGCCCATAATGCAGCTGCTTCATCTGTGTTGTCGTGTACTTGTAAACCCATAATGCAGCTGCTTCATCTGTGTTGTCGTGTACTTGTAAGCCCTTAATGCAGCTGCTTCATCTGTGTTGTCGTGTACTTGTAAACCCTTAATGCAGCTGCTTCATCTGTGTTGTCGTGTACTTGTAAACCCTTAATGCAGCTGCTTCATCTGTGTTGTCGTGTACTTGTAAACCCATAATGCAGCTGCTTCATCTGTGTTGTCGTGTACTTGTAAACCCTTAATGCAGCTGCTTCATCTGTGTTGTCGTGTACTTGTAAACCCATAATGCAGCTGCTTCATCTGTGTTGTCGTGTACTTGTAAACCCATAATGCAGCTGCTTCATCTGTGTTGTCGTGTACTTGTAAACCCATAATGCAGCTGCTTCATCTGTGTTGTCGTGTACTTGTAAACCCTTAATGCAGCTGCTTCATCTGTGTTGTCGTGTACTTGTAAACCCATAATGCAGCTGCTTCATCTGTGTTGTCGTGTACTTGTAAACCCATAATGCAGCTGCTTCATCTGTGTTGTTGTGTACTTGTAAACCCATAATGCAGCTGCTTCATCTGTGTTGTTATGTACTTGTAAACCCATAATGCAGCTGCTTCATCTGTGTTGTCGTGTACTTGTAAACCCATAATGCAGCTGCTTCATCTGTGTTGTCGTGTACTTGTAAACCCATAATGCAGCTGCTTCATCTGTGTTGTCGTGTACTTGTAAACCCATAATGCAGCTGCTTCATCTGTGTTGTCGTGTACTTGTAAACCCTTAATGCAGCTGCTTCATCTGTGTTGTCGTGTACTTGTAAACCCATAATGCAGCTGCTTCATCTGTGTTGTTGTGTACTTGTAAACCCATAATGCAGCTGCTTCATCTGTGTTGTCGTGTACTTGTAAACCCATAATGCAGCTGCTTCATCTGTGTTGTCGTGTACTTGTAAACCCATAATGCAGCTGCTTCATCTGTGTTGTCGTGTACTTGTAAACCCATAATGCAGCTGCTTCATCTGTTGTCGGAAAAGGCATTTAATTACATTAAAGGCTTGAATTCCCCTCCCCTCACCAAACTCAACATGCAGGGCTTTAATTAATTTTTTTTTATTCAGCACAATCTCGATTCAACAAACCATATGGTACCAACCTTAATTCATTGCACTGAGAGATTCGTTGCAACCGGAGATGCCTCCAGGATGCCTTTCCCACGCCCTATGGGCTAATTTCACTAAGAAATTTTAATTTCAACCTATAATAGACAACTACCAAAGGAACGTGTCTTAAAAAAAATTACCATCTAGTTTATATCTTTCATGTCCCAGCCTCAAAACTCATTTTCAAAAGGTAGCAGGACAATACCTGTGTGAAGAAAAAAACCTTGCCAACTCAAAATGAAAACAAATTATAGAATTTGGTTTGAAATATCCAAATTTATTTTGTATTACTTCTAAAGAACACATCAAATTTGCTGTCACAACTGCCAGAAAATGACAGGTTGGATAACAAGACCCTTCCAAACAAGGGATGCCATTGAACAAATCACGTTAGTGTGATCTCTGTGTGTGAAGGGATGCCATTCTAATGATGATACATTTTAAGACACTAGTGCTCTCTAGGGTGGAATATTGTTGCACACTAACAGCTCCATTCAGAGCTGGAGAAATTGCTGACTTTGAGAGCGTGCAAAAATTCTTTACCACTAGAATCCACTCAATACACCTTCTAAATTATTGGGACCACCTAAAAATTTTTAGTCTGTATTCCCTAGAATGCAGGCAGGGAGAGATACATAAAAATCTATACAGTATTTGGAAAATATTAGAAGGCTAGTTTCAAATCTGCATTCAGAAATAAGACCACTTGAGACCAGAAGGCATGGCAGGATGTGCAAAATAGCAGAGGGGTAATAGGCACGCCGAAAGAGAACTCGATCAACATCAAAGGCCCAAGGTTTTTCAACGCTCTTCCTCTACGCTTAAGGGGCATAACTGGCTGACCTCTTGCAGTGTTCAAAAGAGAACTCGACAAGCACGCTTCAAAGGATACCTGATCAACCAGGCTGACTCGTATGTCAGGCTGCTAGCAGCTGCATCAAACAGCCTGGTGGATCAGACCAGCAAACAGGCCACGAGAACATTGATCCCTGGAATCTTTAACAGGTAGTCAACAGGTAGGTAAGGCGGGTTATTAGTTTTCAGCCACGTTATCGTGATCTATCCTGTTCACACGTCAAATCTTTACATTGGTGCTACTTTGAAGTAATAAAATAATTTACATTTATAAAATATACATTTGAACACGTTAGTATTTAATTAACAGGTACACAAATTGTATAATATATGAAGCCACTAATTTGCAAAGTGTTTGGGGTATAATCATAATCAACGTTGATGATGTACAGTTATTGTATACAGTATTAATAAGCTTCATTCCGTGGTTTTCAGGCTCTCCGACACCGGCACAAGTTTTGAACGGTGAGGTGGTAAACCAACTCCTCTATGTAAGAAGTCAGGTCGAACGCACTGCATCTGCCACCCTTGCTCACCTGCCTCAACCTGTAACCAATATGTTATTGAAGGTAGGCTAAATTCTGTATTCACCTAGTTGTGTTTGTAGGGGGTTGAGCTTTGCTCTTTTGGCCTGCCTCTCAACTGTCAATCAACTGTTTACTAACTACTATTTTTTTTTTCACACCACACTCACACACATCCCAGGAAGCAGTCTGTGACAGCTGACTAACTCCCAGATACCTTTTTACTGCTAGGTAACAAGGACATTCAGGGTGAAAGAAACTTTGCCCATTTGTTTCTGCCTGGTGCCTGGTTTCTGCCTGGTGTGTGTTGACGGTGTCTGTTACACAGTGCGAGCAGTTTTGTGTGCCAAACAAAATCCACGACTTGAATGCATCACGTGAGACTTCAGGATATTTATGGTCTTGACGAATATAAGTACTGTACAGTACTGTGCTGTATATCCTTGTGAAAGAACATAGACCAATAAGAATTTTGATAAAACAGAAGGTTGTAGTGTGTGCTGTTGACTGTGGAGTGAGAGGAGTGTTGGTGGGTAGAGCAACAAGCTTTTAGCTAACTTATAGGACAAATTTGTAATGTAGCAAATAAGATGTAATGAAAACTTGGAGACCCCTTTTGAAAACTGAAGATGCAGACTGGGAGGGAAAACTAGATGGGAAAAGTCACTTAAGTTTTGTACAACACATAGGTGTTGCAGGACTTGTATTTACCATGTAATACAAATAATGATATTTAATTTTGGAAATTTTTTTTATTAGAAATTAGCAAAGTACAGTAATGAAAAACATAAAAGCAAAATTTAAATAAAAATATTGTTGAATGAAATAAAATACAATACCCTATTTAGAGAGGCACCTTGGAAACTCAACTGGGACAGTTGCTCTGGTCTTAACCCAGACAGCAGTAAATTGAGAAGTTGTGAGGTGACCTGGGCTAGAGGGCCAGAGGGTAGCCTTGTTAACTATCTCCCTTCCCTACTAAGTTTGTTGGGAGATTAACAGGGTATGCTAAACTTCTCTCACTGTAATCTTGAAAAACCTTTCAAAGCACTTCACACTTCTTGGTAACAAGTCTTAGCAGCTCTAAACTTGCCTGGAGTCACTCTGAAGCTTGTAAACCCCTTTCCACCAACTACTTCGTTCACCACCAGATGTCATCCTTACAGTGCATAAGAGCCCAGGAAACTAGTTGTCTAGCATTAAACCCATCTAAGCCAACTTTTGGGTAAGATTGGAATTAAAGGCCAGGAATGGTCAACTACCGAGGCCACTGAGAGCTCCTGCCCTAGTGGATGGAATAATTACTGGCTGTCTAGTCAGTTTGTAGTTGCAGGCGATGAGTCACAGTAACGTGGCTAAAGTATGATGACCAGACCACACACTAGAATGTGAAGGGACGACGACACTTCGGTCCATCCTGTACCATTCTCAATCGACTTGAGAATGGTCCAGGACGGACCGAAACGTCGTCGTCCCTTCACATTCTTGTGTGTGGTCTGGTCATCAGTTTGTAGTTAATTAGATGTGGGGTTGTTTGTCACTACATATTTTTATTTTTAAACTACCCAGTATTCCAGGATATTGGACCTATATTGTCACAATTCATTGTACAGTAATTATTTATTTGCAGGCATTGCCGTCTATTGATATGCTGATGTCGTCTGCAGTGCAACCACTTTTCACTTCCATCACCGACGCAATAGAAGACATTATCCTAACTGTGCATAGCGAAGACTTTTCAGGGTAGGTTGGTTGTGGGTGTCGGTAAAATACCGCCAGTATGTTTCCCATTCTTTAAGTTAAAAGTAGTTCTGATACTCTAGTTATACAGTACTTTAATTAGTCTGATACTTTAGTTAAATTAGTGGCTTTAGGCATAGTATATACTAGATGTCTACAAATCCAACATTGTTTGTAACTCATTTTATTTATATGTATGTACTTGTACCTGAATAAACATTATTATTATTATTATTATTATTATTATTATTATTATTATTATTAAAAATCACTTGTTTTAAACCAATCCTAGGTGTTCTCACTCGCCTATTTGTGTCTGCTGGATCGAGCACTGACTCTTGGATCCCGTCATTCTAGGTGCCGGTTGTTTATAGATGATTCTTGTCCTATTTCCCTATCATATCTAATTTTAAAATTATGAATATAGTTTGCTTCTACAACCTGCTCCTCAAGTTCATTTCATTTTCCACTTGCAGGCAGACTGGTTTGAATTGCACAACTGTATATCTGTATATATAAACATTTTGGATAGTTTGATTTTTAAAGCTTTGTAAGACCTCGACGATATTGTTATTTAAATGAGGGTGAGTGTGAATTGTAGTGTGTCAAATTTGTTGGATAAATCCTGACTAGAGAGATACTGCATTGTTTTGGATGCAAATCTGAGCTACGTTACACACAGAAATCACAATAGCATGATACATCAAATGAATAAATCCACAAGGGCCGTGATAAGGGTTCGAATCGACGTCTGGGATAATCCCAGATGCACTTTAGTCGATTGCACCGTGACATGGAAAAGAATTGCAACTGGGAGTGCTACTGCTCTCACACGGATCCTGCAGCCTCTCCGAGGCACAAACAAGGTTTGTGTAATTTCCAGTGAATTGTGCAAAAACCCTGGTTTGTGTCTCGGAGAGGCTGTGGGATCCATGTGAGAGCAGTAGCACTCCCAGTTGCAATTCTTTTCCATGTCGTTACGCAGTTGACTGAGGAGCGTCTGGGATTATCCCGGACATAGGTTCAAACTCTCATCATGTCCCTTGTGGATTTGTTCATTTGAGATACATCTCATTTATATAAACCAAAAGGCCCACCCCCACCCCCCACCCCCCAATTTTTTTTTTTTTTTCAAAAGTACAAAATTTAAAAACCTGAAATTTAGCAACAATATGATGATACATTTTTAGGCTTCCTTTTCATTGGAAGTTTATGGTTTAACCAAAGGAACAGAATGAGAAGTTGTTTATTTTGTATAGTCTTTATAATTTCCTTTATTTCATTATTTATTTTAAATACTGAAGACTAAACCACACACCACAAGATGAGGAGATGATGACGTTTTGGTTTGTCCTGGACCATTATCACGTTGATTGTCCAGGATGAACCGAAACATCGTCGTCTCCTCATCTTCTGGCGTTTGGTTTAGTTTTCATATCTTCAGCCATGTTATTGTGACTGATCATCTGCATATTTTAAAGTACTGTTTCTGGACAAGTTCCAGTGGCTCCCTGAAGCTGTCCCACTGAAATAGTTTTGAAGTCGTAGATCACATTAGCTGTAGAGTTGTTTGGACTACCAGTGGCCACGAGCGAGAACCTGGTCCCCCTTGAAGAGGTACGGAGAGTGGATGACACTCGGCCACCCCATTGGGAAAGCTTGCAGAAAGTTGATGAACCAATACAGATCACTGCTGGGCTCAGAGACCAAAGCCTTGAAACTGCCAAACGAACTCCCCCAGCAATGTAAACAAATGATTGAATCTCTTGAGACTAGAACGAGCTCGTTATAGTAGGTACTTCCCTCCCCACCAGTAATGGGGAAGGAGATGAGCTTCAGGTCTCCCTTAGCCTTTCAAGTCAGTTCTGTTGCAGATGAGTGTGTGTGTGTGTGTGTGTGTGTGTGTGTGTGTGTGTGTGTGTGTAATTACCTAAGTGTAATTACCTAAGTGTAGTTACAGGATGAGAGCTACGCTCGTGGTGTCCCGTCTTCCCAGCACTCTTTGTCATATAACGCTTTGAAACTACTGACGGTCTTGGCCTCCACCACCTTCTCACTTAACTTGTTCCAACCGTCTACCACTCTATTTGCGAAGGTGAATTTTCTTATATTTCTTCGGCATCTGTGTTTAGCTAGTTTAAATCTATGACCTCTTGTTCTTGAAGTTCCAGGTCTCAGGAAGTCTTCCCTGTCGATTTTGTCAATTCCTGTTACTATTTTGTATGTACTGATCATATCACCTCTTTTTCTTCTGTCTTCTAGTTTTGGCATATTTAATGCTTCTAACCTCTCCTCGTAGCTCTTGCCCTTCAGTTCTGGGAGCCACTTAGTAGCATGTCTTTGCACCTTTTCCAGTTTGTTGATGTGCTTCTTAAGATATGGGCACCACACAACAGCTGCATATTCTAGCTTTGGCCTAACAAAAGTCATGAACAATTTCTTTAGTATATCGCCATCCATGTATTTAAATGCAATTCTGAAGTTAGAAAGCATAGCATAGGCTCCTTGCACAATATTCTTTATGTGGTCCTCAGGTGATAGTTTTCTATCTAGAACCACTCCTAGATCTCTTTCTTTATCAGAATTCTTTAAAGATTTCTCACATAATATATAGGTTGTGTGGGGTCTATGTTCTCCTATTCCACATTCCATAACATGACATTTATTAACATTAAATTCCATTTGCCAAGTGGTGCTCCATATACTTATTTTGTCCAGGTCTTTTTGAAGGGCATGACAGTCATCTAAATTTCTTATCCTTCCTATTATCTTAGCATCATCAGCAAACATGTTCATATAATTCTGTATACTATTAATTCTGTGTGTGTGTGTGTGTGTGTGTGTGTGTGACTAAGGTTACTCCATGTAGGGCTCTCAGGTCATCAACCAATTGTGTGGGTCCATCTGCTTTAAGGCTAAGTGCTGGCCATCCTTGCATTTTGTTCTGTGCAGGGGGAGGCATTTTGACTGGTTACCTTGGGTATTTCAAGTGTCTTTTGTGTTCTCTGTCTAGGCCCATTGTTGGGGGGCTGAACATTTGGGCTGGGTGAGGCACACTGGGGGTTTGTGCACTTGTTATATATTGCATGATACCAAGGTCAGCCTTCACAGCCACATTGACTAGGCTATGTTGGTTTACTTATTTCGTCTTGGCAAGCATCCACCAGCGCCTGGAGAGCCAGACCTCCTAAGATTTCCCAACGTCAGGAAAACGGACGTCATGCTTGTTTGGTAATTTTTGTTTGGGGAGTTCTGTCCACTCATTCGACTTTCAGTAACAATATTTTCACCAGAATAGGGGGTTTGTTTGGGGTGCCTACCTTTCCGGGTGCCAACCCCGGTCGATGGCAGACATGGAATGCTCCTAACCACACGGGGGTTTCTATAGGCCATTGCTCCTCGTGCCTCTCTGAGAGGGCCAGATTCTGGCTCATGGTCCCCAGTAGTCAAGAACACCATGCACTTTGACTGATGCCATAAAGCTAATAGATACATATCAGCTTGAATAGCTCCAGGGAGCTTCTGGGTCTCGCCCAGAAAATGGCATTTCATTACATTCAACTCTGGTTTTGAAGATAGTACTTCAAACAACTTCTTCAAAAGATCAAATGTAGTTGCATACAAGGAGCAACAGCTTCAAGCTCAACAAGCTACAATGTAGGACAGAAAACAGGAGATGCTTTTTCTCCCACTGGAGTATAAACCCATAGAACCACCTACCCACTTAAGCCATAAATGCCAGTATGTTACTTCAGTTCAAAATCCAAATGGAAAAATCTCAGGAAGAATGGGGTGACCTTTTGAGAAGCTGCCAACTTCCAGTTCCTATTGTGGCCACCTGGGAGATGGTGGTCCTCTTGTAAAGTCAGGTAACACGGTATTTTGTGAATATCAAATCACCTTTATTCGTGAACGGAGATTATATTATATATGATGACCAACCCACGCAATAGATGATGGAGAAACGACGACGTTTCAGTCTGTTCTGGACCATTATCACGTTGTATGATAATGGTCCAGGGCGGACCGAAATGTCATCGTTTCTCCATCTTCTGTTGTGTAGTTTGGTCATCATATTTTCAGCCACATTATTGTGACTCATCGTCTGCAATAAATTATATATTTCTTGGGAACATTATTCACTTTACATTAACACAAATGGTTGATGAGGAAATATTGGGACCGTACTGTGGAATCAAATTTGCATTCCTGGATTCCACATGTACATATTGTACCAACTGAACCATGGTGAACCCAAAAGTATGGTTCAATCAATAGTGTATGTGCTAGAGGACTTCGGAAATGCATTTTCACTTCCATTGTGCAGCCTCAGTCTTTTCTCATAGATACATCACTTTTTTTCCTTGTGATTTAATTTTGCAAATGCTTTACATTTTCAGCGGTGATTCTAAAGGAGCAGATTCTCAGTGTTCACTGTACATGAGGGAGCTGCAGGGGTTCATCACGAGAGCTGCAGAAGATTACCTCTCCATCTATCAACCCTCCAGAATCATAAAGGAGAAGTATGTTGTGTTAAAGTACAAGGAAAATTCCATTATACCCGAATGAATTTCCCAAAGAGGCATTCAGGAGCCTTAGTATCCTTTACTATACTGTCCAAGCTCACTTATCCGAAGTACTGTATATGGGAAGGACCTCTCACCGGATTAGCAGAATTCTTACCTCGGAAGTCCAAAAATGAACTTGGTTTGCAATTTTTTGTATCACAAGCAGCATAATTTGAAATTCTACACACATTATAAATCAAAATATAATTTCAAACAGACACTTCAGCTTACCTTGTTGTAGTTGGTCTTGATTGATACTGGAAGTCATGAACTGTGTAGTGCTTGTAAATTGACATAACCTAATTTCCGGTTATCCGGATACAGTATATAGTTTTTCTTTACCGATTCAGAATACATACACTGGCCTGTCGTTGCTTGGATCTGTTTGTACGCCATGCAAGTTTACTACGACCTATTGGGGAAGGTGGAAAGTTGCGTCTTGCTGCAGACTTTGCCCAGGTAAAGGTATTATGTTGTTAATATTAAAGTTAGTTCAGTATAAAGTTATTCAAGTTAATATTTTGCATTTATGCACTTTGAAAGGCAAGTTTATAAACACCACCTGTATCTCTGAGAAGGTTTCCTTAAATTTACAATAGCAGTTAGTCTTAATTTTAAAAAATACATTATTCTGTCAGTATCACAGGTAATTTAGTTCAAATAAATTGGCTTGCATTATAAATGTTAAATCCTATATCAAATGAAGGAAATTATTTGCAATATAATGATTTTGTATTTTTTCAGATGGAAATGGCAATAAGTCCTCTATGCAACCGACCATCAGAGCTCGGCCGAGCATATCGTGTTGTCAGGTCGTTTAGGCCTCTGCTGTTCCAGACTGTTGAACACATAATTGCATCCCCCAGCATTGGTGATGTCATTCCATACTCAACTGTCTTGCATTTCCTCTTTGCCAAGGCTCCATCAGAGTTAAGATCTCCCCATCAGGTAAGTCATTACCGAAGTGTAATTACCTAAGTGTAGTTACAGGACGAGAGCTACGCTCGTGGTGTCCCGTCTTCCCAGTACTCTTTGACATATTGGGCTTTGAAACTTCTGACGGTTCTGGCCTCCACCACCTTCTGACTTGTTCCAACCGTCTACCACTCTGTTTGCAAAAGAGAACTTCCTAATATTTTTGGACACTTTTGTTTCCTTAGCTTGAATCCATGACTTCTTGTTTTTAAAGTTGCAGGTTTCAAGTATTCCTCTTTGCCCATTTTGTTGATAACTGTTACTATTTTGTACATAGTGATCATATCATCTCTCGTCTATCTTCGGCATATTTGCATATTTAATGCCTCTAGCCTCTCCTTGTAGTTCTTGTTTTTCTGTTCAGGAAGCCATTTAGTTGCATGTCTACATTTTGTCCAGTTTATCGATGTGCTTCTCGAGATACGGATACCGCACAACCGCTGCATATTCCAATTTTGGTCTCACCAAAGTCATGAGCAATTTGTTTAATATTTTACCATTCATATATGCATTTAAAAGTGATTCTGAAGTTAGAAAGCATAGCATAGCTCCTTGCACAATGCCCTTTGTGTGTTCATCTGGTGACCTTTAGATCTCTTTCTTTGTCAGACTTATTTAATGCTTTTCCACATAGTTTGTTGGTTGTGTGTGGCCGGTTTTCTCCTCTTCCACATTCCATAACATGCCATTTAATCATTTTAAATTCCATTTTCCAAATGTTGCTTCAGGTACTTATTTTGTCCAGGTCGTCTTGAAGGTCATGACAGTTGTGTAATTCTCTTATCTTCCCCCTGGTAGCTTAGCATCATCAGCAGACGTGTTCATATAACTCTGTATTCCTTGGGGAAAATCATTTATATTCACAATGAACATTTCTGGTGCTGGAGCTGAGACTTGTGGTGTTCCACTAGTAATATTTTTCCAGTCTGATACATTGCTTCCGATTACTGTCCCCATTTTTCTGTAGGTTAGAACATTTTTAATCCATGTCAGATGTCTCCCTGTCACTCCTCCATCATGTTTCAGCTTCCAGCACAATCTCTTATGTGGGGGGACTCATTTATGTCAAAAATATTGTACACAGGATCTTCCTATTTGAAAACCATACTGTCTGTCTGTTATTGACATTTCTTTCCAGGTATTTTGCCAATTTGGTTTTAATTACGTCTTCAAGTGTTTTGACTACCACACTTGCCAGCTGATACGTCTTCAAGTGTTTTGACTACCACACTTGCCAGCTGATACAGGCCAATAATATAAAGGGTCTTCTCTGGTACCATTTTTTGTAAATTGAAACTATGGTTGCATTTGTCCATATATCTGCTAAGGTTCTTGTAGTGTGTGTGTGTGACGGGCTAATGCCAATGCCTCTCCTACTTACCTGAGTTTACCTGAGAGTTTACTTATCTGCTAGCTTTTATACTACCAGGCCACATTTACTCTTTTTTCATCCAATCACCTTGTCCTTGGTAAGATATCGTCTCTTACCCGTACCTCCTCTACCTTGACTTCTCTCACTCCGATATAATTCTTAATTTCAAATGGTGAAATATACAAGGAAAAAATGGCCAACATGAATGCATTGGCTTTCCATCACGAGCATACCTCTAGTCCTGCAACTACACTTAGGAAATTACAATGAAATCATAAGAACGTGACATGTCTATGAGAAATTATTTAAGTTGTAAGACAGGATGGAATCTGCAACTCTGGACTCACAGGCATGCACTACCATGCGTAGTGTGTGTTTCTGGGCTGTCCAAGAAGCGGATTTGATCCCATCGTACACCTTCATTACTTTCTTGTGAATGCATTTATTACTTGTTTTATTAGTGGTGTGCACATTGAATTTATTTAAAAACTGTCTGAAAATTAAATTTTCAGACTGCTGGTTGGTCTGTGAGCCGCTACAGCGACTGGTTGGATGAGCATCAGAATGAGCGAGAACGTTTGCAGCTGGTCCGAGGGGCTCTGGAAGCTTACGTTGCCAATGTCAGATCACGCCACCTCACACAATTTGCCTCTGTGTATCCTTCCATGCTCAAACTCCTAGAAAAAGGAATGGCTGCTCACGGTCTGGCAGCCACGTCATAGCTTTACGAAAAATTTATATTTGTGTTGTGTGAAATTTCTAAATTATTACCCCTCAGCATTGTTATAATAATTCATTGTGTCGGGGGGACAGGATGTCAGAGTGTATTCATACAGGTTAGGCTTATATCGAGGTTCCTCCCCCCCCCCCATCTCCCCAAGGTGGAATTACTGACCCCGCCCTGGGTGCAACCCCACAAGCTGACTAACTCATGAGTACCTACTCACTGCTAGGGGAACAGAACCATTAAGTGCAACGAAATGTGCTGAACCATTTCTGTCCCGTCCGGGATTCGAACCTGGAATCCTTGATTGTGTGTTGAGAACAAACCCGACTGTACTACTTGGGACCCGACTGTACTACCGTTGGCGTCGTGAGGGGGCTTGGTGGACGGCTGCCAGAGTGTGATGCTCCGTGGGGCAGTCCTCTGGCCTTACACTCCTGCTGTTGTCTTCTCTAATTGTGCCGGATCGCTTTTCCTTTTCCTTATGTTTCGTTTTTCTCCCCCCCCCCTCTTCTCCTATCTGCTTGTCGTTTCCTGCCAAACTTTTGCTTGTTTTGGATTATTTCTTTGGACTTCTTCTATTTTGAAGCCCGGGTGCTTGAGGAGGCATACTCTTGCACCCGTAGAACTGTAGTACCCAACATCTCGAGCGAGGGGAATCTTTTATTGTCAATCCCCCTTTCGTCGCTGAACCCGATCTCGACGGACTGACGGTTCTTAAGGTGGCGTTTGTGGGGCGTATACTCACGACGCACCCCTAGGGGGCCCCGGCATGATCGGCGATAGCTTCCTGTTGGGTGTCCTGCCTCTAATTGTGGCTCCATGGTGGGTATGGGGGTACATTCGTGGGTGAATTTTTTTCTCTTCGTCTCTATGTCGATGAATGTTTCCGTTGTACCCTCTCAGGCTCGTGGGGTGGGCGACCAAGCCCCCGAGTCGGCCTGTATTGGAAGACCAGGCTCTGTAGCTTCCGCTGCGTTGGGCCCAGACCTTGCTCCTCCTTTGACCGTCCTGACTTCTTCCCCCAGCTCCCCTCCCTCCTCTGTGGTTGGGTCGAGCCTCCAGCCCCCGGTGGTGACCACTTCGCCCCCTGGTGCGGCTAAATCTCTCGTTGTGACTACTGCGCCTTTTGACCCCTCTCTCTCTAGGGGTTCTCAACGCCGTTCGCGCCCCAGCCGCACTCGCTCGATTCCTTCCCGTGCTGATGCGTATCAGGCCTTGTTTGGTCCTGCTTCATGGGCCAAATACTTTGATCTCCTCCCTCTTGATTCTGCGCCTCCTGACGATTTCTCCCTCCATCGGCATCTTGTAGATTCCGTGGATGCGTCTGTTACTTTCAACCCCACTCGTATCGGTACACGTGTCGTTGCTGCTCCTTCTCAGGATGCAGCTTCCCGCTTGGCTGCCTTATCTTGCCTTGGCGAGACCCCTGTTCGGGTCTCCAAGAACGTTCAGATGAATGCCAGTGTTGGCACTATTCTCCTCCCACCCCATGTTACAACCGGTGTTCGGAATCTGCAGGATTGCCACGATGATATTCGGCATAACCTTGATGCCCAAGGCCATTCTGTCCTCCAGGTTGTCTCGTTTACTCGTCCCCATCGTGGTCGTAGCCGTCAACCCCTTCGCGTTGTGAAGATCGCCTTTGATGGTAGGACCCTTCCATCCTGTCATTCTTGCTGGTGCTAGGTGCTCTGTCCAAGAGTATATTCCTTCTCCTCGGCTTTGTAACAAGTGCTGGAGGTTTGGGCATGGTGCCCTCCGCTGCTCTGGGACTCTCTCTCTCTGTCCTTTGTGTGGGGGTGAAGGTCACTCTAAGTCGGAGTGCACTTCTCCCCAAGCTCGCTGCCTCAACTGCGGTGAGGCCCATCCTACCTTCTCCCGTGCCTGTGTCCATTACAAGCTTGAGGCAGCCGTCCTCAACCTGAAGCACTGGGAGCGTTTATCTTTTCCTGAGGCGAGGCGCCAGGTTTGCTGGCTCCCGCCTTATGCTAACATCTCTTATGCTCGCGTGTTGCGCTCTTCCTCTCCTCGTCCTTCCCCCCTTCCTCAGACTCACAACCGTTTCCGGGCCTTGGACCCTGATACACCCACTGCCCCCTCCTCTGTCCCTTTGCGTTCTGTCCCGAGGGGTTCCCCTGCTGGTCCTGTGTCTGGGGTTCACCTTCTTTCTACCTGGTCTGTCATGTCTCCTGTGTCTTCTTCGTCGTCCCCCTCCGATCCTCCTTCCCATCCTCTTCCTCCATCTATCAGCTCTCCCCGCCGCCTGTCGGTGCAGGCGGATGTCCATCGCTCTCCTAACGGCCGTCGTGTGTGCTCTCGTTCAACTTCTCCTGTTAAGACACTGGAATCCGTTGCCCGGTACGTAGTTGCTGGGACACCGGTCTCTTTAAGTCAGAAGCGTAAGCCTGGCTCCTCTCCTTCCTCCTCCCCGGCGGGTAAGAAGGCTTCGCTTTCTTCCTCAGCTCCTACGTCTGGTTCTGTTGCTCCTTCCCCTCCCGTTTCAGTGATTGCGCCCCCTGTTCCTGCTATGGAGGTTTCTTTGGCCCCTGCTTCCCTTTCGGTTGCTGCTCTTGCTGGGGTGCGCTCCCCTCTTTCTACTCCCCCTCTTCCTGCTGCTGTCCTTGACTGCTCCTCTTCGTTGTCTCCTCCTCTTCCTCCTCCTCCTCCTCCTCCTCCTCCTCCTCCTCCGGACCCCGCCCGCCCACCTCTGATCTGTTCTCCCGTTTCCTTCCCTCCGTCTTTGCTCAGTTTACCCATGCCCCCTAACCCTGACTTTGCTGACCCTGATCCCGACCCTGATATTCTTTAACGTACTCTGATGCTCTTTCACCTTTGTTTCTTCCTTGTTCTCTGTTTTTGTCCTTTCTCTTCTCGTCGTTGTCCATTCTTCAATGGAACGTTCGAGGTTATTACGCCAATTTCCTCGAACTCCAACTTCTGATTTCGTGGTTTTCGCCCCTTTGTGTCTGTCTCCAGGAGCCGATGCTTGGTGCTCGTCCTGGTCGTTTTCGTGGCTATTCCTTTCTCTCCCCCCCCCCCCCCCCCAGCAGTTGCTGGGGCTTCTAATTCTTCTGCTCTCTTGATTCGTGCTGATGTTCCCTTTGTTCCTTTACTTTTTCCTTCGCCTCTCCATTGTTCTGCTGCTCGTATCTTTGTGGGGAAATGGTACACAGTTTGTTCCATTTATCTCCCCCGAGTATCCCGCTCTCTCTTCCTGATTTGAAACACCTCCTAGACTCCTTGCCGGAGCCTGTGCTCCTGCTGGGTGACTTCAATTGTCGTCATTCTCTTTGGGGTGACGTTCTGACGAATACCCGGGGTCGCCTTCTTGAGCCGTTTCTCCTCTCTTCTTCCCTGTCTCTTCTGAATTTTAGTGAGCCCACTCATTTGGACTCTGGGACTCGCACCCTTTCCTGTCTTGATCTTTCTCTCTGCTCTTCTTCTCTTTACTTAGATTTCATGTGGCAGGTTCTTGATGACCTCCATGGAAGTGATCATTTCCCCATCCTTGTTTCCTTTTTCTCTTTTCGCCCTTCCCTCTCTTTCCCTAGGTGGCAGTTTGCTAAGGCGGACTGGTCCCTATTTACCCTCAGTGCTGCTCTCTCTGACCTCTCCCTTCTGCCTTTCTCTCGCGCTCTCCTCCTTTTTCATGACACTGTCTTCAACGCTGTCCTCCGCTCTATTCCTCGCTCTTCCTCTCGGGGTCCACGGAAGTGCATTCCCTGGTGGAATGTGGACTGTGCTCGGGCTGTCCGCTGTAAGCGTGCAGCCTGGAAAAGGCACCGCCGTAGGCAGACGACCGATTCTTTTCTTTTCTTTCGGAAAGAAAGTGCGGTGGCCCGTAGGGCCATCCGTACGGCTAAACGTGAATGTTGGGCATCTTATGTCTCAACAATTACGTCCGAAACCCCTCTGACCCAGATCTGGAAGCGTACCCGCAAGATAGCGGGTAAATTCGTTCCCGATGTTTCTCTGGTCCTTTACCTCCATGATACTCTTGTGGCGGACCCGTTGCAGATCGCTTCCGAACTGGGTTCCCACTTTTCTTCTGTTAGCTCTGGTCTTCATCTTCCCCAATCTTTCCTTCTTCGTAAACCTGTCCTTGAGTCTCGTCCTTTAGATTTCTGCACTCATCTTCAGCTTCCCTATAATGATCCCTTCCCTCTCTCTGAACTTCGTTCTGCCCTGGCCCTCTGCGGTTCTACGGCGGCGGGCTCCGATGGTATGCATTATGAGATGCTTCGCCATCTCCCTCCGTGCACGTCTCAGTATTTACCGAGTCTGTATAATCGGATCTGGGAGTCGTCATCAGTCCCTGAGGACTGGCTCGATGCCGTTGTCCTCCCTGTTCGCAAACCGGGGTCTCTGGGTACTTCCCCTAAGGACTTTCGCCCTATTGCTCTCACAAGTTGTGTCTGCAAACTCTTTGAACGTATGGTTAACGTTCGTCTGATGTGGTTCCTGGAACACCATCACCACCTCTCCCCTTCTCAATTTGGTTTCCGCAAGTGCCGCAGCACGACAGATGTCCTGGTGAACTTGGAGGTCTATATTCGTACTGCTTTTGCTGCGAAGACCTCCGTTGTTGCCGTCCTTTTTGACCTGGAAAAGGCTTACGACACCACTTGGCGATATCATATTCTATCTCAACTTCATTCTTTTGGCCTTCGTGGTCATCTCCCTCTCTTTCTCCGCAGCTTCCTCTCTCGTCGTTCCTTTCGGGTGCGCCTTGGTACCGCACTCTCTGCCTCTTTTCAGCAATACGAAGGTGTGCCCCAGGGTAGTGTTCTGAGCACTACTCTTTTTCTGGTTGCCCTCAATGGTCTTCTTTCCTCTCTGCCTTCTGGTGTCTTCTCCGCCCTCTATGTCGATGATCTTACCCTTTGCTGTCAGGGTGATGATTCGCCTCTCCTTCAGCGCCGGCTTCAACTTGCAATTGATGCCGTGTCGTCTTGGGCCACCGATCATGGCTTCAAGTTCTCTACTTCTAAGACTTGTGCCATGACTTTTACGCGGAAACGGGTCGTTCTTCGTCCCTCTTAGTCACTTTATGGTCATCCCCATGAATACAATGATTCCGCAAAGCTTTTGGGG